TGCGCCGAGAAACCATTAGGTTTTTCATAGCGCCGCGACTTTCGTCGCAGTTTTTATTTTTTCATTAAAGAGATTAAGGAATGAAACGGGGGTTGATGGATGGGGAATTCAATTCTCCATTGAACAGTCTTTGTTTCATCCTTTAATATTAATTAGTCGGCGAATAAATCAACTGAAAAACATAAAATAAACATTGAGTACAAGGAGGATGAAAGTCCCCCTCCGAACATGTCCCTATCACAGCGGGACTGCTACTGCCGACGCCGAGTTACTCACGCACCCGACTCACATTTACCGACAATTCGACCGGGACGCCGCCTTTCCCGTGGGATACCAACTAACATTTTTGGAGTCAGTCAAACCCCCCGATCCGGGCCTCTACTCAGGTCTATCCTCTTTGGTCTATCCAGTTAGTATAGAGATCAGCGTACCACCAGGAACTTAGCCGGAAGGGGGTGATAAATAGAAAAACAAATTTATATACTCAATTGTACATCGTTAGTATGCATGTACATGCCATATTTTTTTTGTACATTCCCTAATTAATTAATTTTAATTATTGAAATTTTGCCATGATGTTGGCCGAAACGAAATACAAAATTGTTTAATTAGGGCAAATAACCAGTGAAATCGATAGAAATTTGTTTGTACATCACGAATTTACCTTCTTTTCGTTTGTACATTCATTTCGTAAGTAACTAAATGCTGATGAACAATTTTTATACACCGAGCCCCCCCCCACCCGCTCAACAGCTGTTCGCGGCGGATCTGTGTTATCGACAATAACGTTCAAGCCTCTGTTTTGTATATATATATATATATATATATATATATTCTCTTAGAATTCTTTGATGCCTAAAGGAGGTTAGGCGGTGTATGAGGTGAATTTGAGAGTGAATTTCTGTGGTTCCCGGTAGCTTAGTCGATAAAAGTGCCCGGCTCTTATCCGGGAGATCCGGGTTCGATTCCCGGCTGGGTGAAGCGCAAATTTTTTCTCTCTAAATTCTAATTTTCTTACATTTCTTTTTTTCTCTTAGATATATATATATATATATATATATATGTTTCATTTCGTAATTTTATATTTTTATGAGAAATATTAAATTGTACGACATGATATTTGATAGACGGCGCATTATCTTGATTGGTCATTTGCAACCTTTGTGGATATGTATGAATATATCACAGCCCAAAGGAACAACACCGAGACTTGAACGTTATTGTCGATAATACAGATCCGCCACAAACAGCTGTTGGACGGCGGGGGGGCGGTGTATGAAAATTGTTTATCTGCATTTAGTTAATTAAGAAATGAATATACAAACGAAAAAAAGGTAAATTCGTGATGTACAAACAAAGTTCTATCGATTTCACTGCTTATTTGCCCTAATTAAGCAATTTTTTATTTCGTTTCGACCAGCATTATGACAAAATTTCAATAATTAACATTAATTAATTAGGGAATGTACAAAAAAAAATATGGCATGTACAATCATGTACTAACGATGTACAATCGAGTACATAAATTCGTTTTTCTATTTATCACCCCCTTCCGGCTAAGTTCCTACGGGTGGGCGGGTTTCTAGATAAGGCGACAGCTCTTATAATGTTCAGAAGCATGGTTTCACCCAAACCACGCCTCTTGGCATTATTTAATTGGTCTATTCCACTGAAATGTAGTATGGGTGCGTTTCGGAATCAACTACCGTAGCTGCAGTAAAGCAAAATTAGATAGGGTTGCAGTACTGCTACTGCTACTACGTCGATTGCGAAACGCGCCCTAGATAGGGTTACATTACTGCTACTGCTACTAAGTCGATTGCGAAACGCGCCCTATTACCGTGAGGGCACCAGTTATCGCACGAACCCCTGTTATCGGAAATCGAGCGCTCTAACGACGGAATTTGGCATTTATCAAATATAGCTAATCATCGACGGCCATTTAGCCTTGTCTCTTTGTCGAGTTGAATGAGTGGTCTACAAGTCACAATTTTTTTGAATATTGAAATAATTGTGTGTAATTAATACGAAGATATTTTATCTGACCGTCTGGTGACTGATGTGTTCGTCAAGTGTGATGTAGTAGGCGAAGGCTGAGGTTCCTGGAGGTTTCACAAGGATATACCAGCAAAATGTGAGTAGAAAATTGATTCGAATTAATTTGTATAGGTTGAGGAATAGATCTAGAATACATACACATCAAAAAAAGGAAGAAAATATTTTTTTTTATGAAAGAAATCACATTTCCGGAATCTGCAAGCCCCGAGTGTGGGCTACCGCAGTTAACGCACGGTCATTTATTCGCCTTCTAACCTCGAAAGATCCATTCTGTCAAGTGCCGGTATTCTCTTTGAAACGGTTTTTTTGTTAATCTTTTAATTATTTGATGATGAGAACAATGATGAAAATAAAAAACAAAATAGTAGAATCGAGAAATTGACCCACTTTTTCTATCTTCTAGGTCCACGCCTGAAAAAACGACTAAAACTAAAAAATCAAGATCACAATACAGCAAGGATGATTTACGAAGAGCTCTGGAGGCCGTGAATTCAGGGAGAACACTAGGAGCAGTGAGCAAAGAATACAATATTCCCAAGTCAACATTGTTTGATAAGAAAAGGGGGAAAACAGCACCTGAAATTATTAAACCAGGTCCTGAGTGTGTCTTGGGGGAAGTGTACGAAAAAAAGTGGCTCGTTCAATCAAGAAGGAGAAGATGTTGGCAGAAAAGCAGAAGAAGGAAGAATTGGCCAAAGCCAAGAAGAGGAGTCCCAGTATTGTGGCTAAAAAGAGAGGCATAAAAAGGAAAAAACCAGTGGAAAGTAAAATAAAAGGAGAGGAGCCCGATGTGGCCAGAAAAATTAAAAAGGAATTATTGGATGATAGCCTCGGAGAGGACAAAGATACCAACAGCCCCCCAGCAAAAATTCTTTCCAGAGAACAATAACGAATAAACCTTCATTATATTAAGTATTTGTACCTTATCATTGATTGATGTTAATTTTTAAAGGTTTATGACTGTTGGGAAAATAGTAAAACTATTGTACGTATGTATATTACGTACGTATATTAAATATTTGTACCTTATCATTGATTGGTGTTAATTTTTAAAGGTTTATGACTGTTGGGAAAATAGTAAAACTATTGTACGGATGTTTGTTATGAGTTATTTCCTCTATTTCTTTTGATCAACCTCTTGTAATTCACTTCGTCCGATAACTACATGTCTAGTGTCCGAGAACTGCAGTGGGTCAGTTTGGGGCGTCCGATCACTACCGACTGGGAACGGTGTTCAGTTTTCGTCAATATTTATTGAATTTAGTGGAATTTCGATAAAAATCTATCATTTTTGCATTGAAAAAACATCAGACTTCACATTGAATCCATCAGACTCATTAATTAATGCATGAAACGCGAATAATCCATTATTAACCTGCAAATTTTTCTTAACCGTGCGATAACTGGTGCCCTCACGGTATATACTACATTTCAGTGGTCTATTCACCTCACGCGCGGTTCACTTTGACCGCCGTTCGATGTCACTCTCATCTCGCGCTCAGCTCCTTCAGCTGGCGCTAGATGTCGCTCCCTACTCTTTCCCTCATTTTAACCATTCTTGACTCTGGGTTTCATGGTAAAACAGTTTTTCAGTAACGAGAAAATCTCTTTACACATTTTGCCCCACTCTCCCCTACTAGAAGTCATTTTTGCTATCTGACAATTGAATAGACTTTGAATTGACTTTGTGCAGGTTAGAAAATTTTGAATTTTATTTCAATGCTTATTTCAATGAGAAAAGGATACGGATTGCAGAACATCTTCTTGAGATCAACTTTTTCCTTGCAGTATGGGCACATTTGCTTTTTGCCAACAATGCACCAGCCTCTTATACAAAATTCATGGAACACATGGTCACAACTCAATTTGTAGGTGTTTTCAATGACACCTTCCTCGTGCTCTGAGACCAGAAGTTTGTTACCACATACAGCACAGACTCCTGGATCTAGAGTTCTGGTTGGCATGCTTTTAGGCGCATAGTACTGGAAGAAAAATTTATTGCATTAATCATTTTCATTCATACCCAAAAATTATTTTGAATTGTGATTTACTGGTAAGCTAGGAAGACTGTTTATACTAAATGTGAAATTTTTGTGAATGCATACATCTCAGAAATGAAAGATTCTCACCCATTTAACGAGATCATATCTTAATTATAGATTATCCTGAATGAGAAAAATAATAAGTCACTTCTAAAAAACTCATTTGCATTACAGAGTAGTTTATCAACATCTTCGGAAAGAATGCATAAAGAAAATCATGGAGAAATATTTTTGAAGAAAATGTTGGATAAACTGAGTACAAAAAGCTTTTCAATTTGCTTAAAATGCGGTGGGCTTCAGAAAAATTGCTCCATGTCTTACTGCTCCAATTTTTTAATCTTATCGTCTTCTACCACTTGACGGTAAAATTTTTATTTTTCATTTTTTATAGTCTTTTATTCAGTGGATGCAATTATTAAAATACTTATTTCGAATCTTTATTGTGTTTTGCGAATAATCATGGAATTCTAATGCTTTTTAATGCAACGAATCTTTCAATAAATAAAGAATTCAAAGTTTTGTGCAAAAAAGCTTACCCCAATATGGCATGCCATTTTATCAGCGCATATTTCCGCAATATCACGCCCCAAAACTCCAAAATAAAGTCCATAAAATAAAAACATCAAGCCACAATCCATCCAAATTGGTGCCTTAGTGTCGAAGACTAGATTTAATCCAAAAAATGTGGCTAGGGCTATCAAATATCCAATTATGCCCAGGACATAACTTAATCGATAAATAAAATAGAACCATTTATACACTAATCTGTAACAAAGAAACATTACACTGTTAGAAAAACAAGTGGATAATCGCATTTTCTGTATATGGGGATAGTTTATGTTGCTAACAAATTAGCAATATGCTTCCGAATGGATTCTCTATTTTTGAAATTCATTACCATTATTTTTTATTGTTTTGAATAGTGACACCCATATGACTCTCTTATGATCCGTATATTACCGTTTTATGAGCCCATAGAATCCCCATATGGCTCCATGTGACATCCATGTAGCCCCACATGACCCTATATAAGCTCATATGACTGCATATCACTCCATATAATCCCGTACGACCCCCATATGACGTCCATATGACCTCATATGACCCAATGTGACTCCTATATAATACCATATTACTCCAATATGACCTCATATGAGCCCATATCACTTCATATAACCCCATGTGAGCCCATATGACCTCTATATGACTCGCATATAACCCTATGCGGTTCTCATATCACCCTATATGACCCTGTATCATCCCATATGAGCTCCATATGACCTAAAGCTTCATATTGCTACTATGCAACTTAATAAATAGTTATGCTGTTTTCATCATCTTTGCATTTCATCGAGAAAGCATCAAAACAATCTTTTTGAACCATGATTTTATTGATATGATGACTTTTAAATTTTCCAGTTCATCATGAAAAAATTTTTTTTTTAAATCTGACAAACTATATGCTGTAGCTCAACAGTGATAGATGCGATCCGCATCATATTCTGATGGAATCAAGAGGCTATCAATACAAATTTTTTAAGCCATAATTCATTTCATTCTGATAGCAATTCTTGGACTGAACGTCGAAAAATCGATTTTTGAAAAAATACCAATATTTCACAAACTCTATGAATAATTCAACTTTAATTGATGTCGACAAATAGAGCCTATTAACGTGAAATCCATAAAAAAATTCATGAAATTTCATCAGGGTCCTATAAAGAAAATTGCGAAAATTGAAAAAAGTACACATACATACATACATACATGAATGATTCTTCGTCAAGTGGGCCACCTATTTTCATCATGTCTGCAAATTCATTTAAGGTGGTTTTTTCTCGGTTTCGATATATTTTTGGGGATTTTTAAGATTTTTTTCATATTTTTAATAATAATAGGACTCTAGGTACGAGACAGGTGAACGATTTATCGATTTTATTCACTCTCAACTTACTGGTAGGGGAAAAACAATTTGAAAAATACATAAAAAATCTATTTTTCCTCAGCTTTCCAGTAAAAATATTTGAAAATTTTTTCGAATAGAAATAAGCCCAAAAAATGCGAAAAAAATAGAAAAAACAGTGTGAAAGTGTGATTTTGAACCTTCGGGCCGGGTTGATTTTGATAAAAAAATTCAAGGATACTTGTGTTATTACACTTATCTTTCAGTGAAGAGGGCATCGTGGGATCGCCAGTCCTTCTTAGGAAAAAAAATTGAAAAGTGAACTCAATGATTCTGATCTTTGGATATTGAGGCATACTTCCTCTTTTTTCTTGAAATTTCCATTCAAAGAGTTATTCCCTATTACATACAATTGATTGTTCGATTATTCGATTGGCAAATAATTTTATTTGAATGAATTCAGCGTTATAAAGCTGTTCTGAGTTTATAACTTGCAAATATGTATGCTATTGAATAGTTTTTCTTGGTAATCCCAACTGATTCAACTATAAAATGCATTTTTCTACATTCATTGAATGATAGGAAGGCATTGCGAGCTGTCGGATGAGAAAAAGCATCATTAGATTGCATGCTTAATTTTTTTCCCCTAAGGACTGGCGATCCCATGATGCCCTTTTCACTGAAAGGTACGTGTTATAACAGAAGTATCCTTGAATTTTTTCATCAAAATTAACCCGGCCGTAAGGTTCAAAATCACGCTTTTACGCTGTTTTTTCTAGTTTTTTTCGCATTTTTTGTGCTTATTTCTATTCGAAAAAATTTGAAAACATTTTTATTAGAAAGCTGAGAAAAAAATTGATTTTTTATGTATTTTTAAAATAATTTTTCCCCCACCAGTAAGTTGAGAGTGAATAAAATCGATAAATCGTTCATCTGTCTCGTACCTAGACTCCTATTATTATTAAAAATCTGGAAAAAATCTTAAAAATCCCCAAAAAAATATAGAAACCAAGGAAAAACAACCTTAAATGAATTTGCAGACATGATGAAAATAGGTGGTCCACTTGACGAAGAATCCTTCACATACATACAGACACCATCTAAAAATCGCATATTTAGACTTTTTAGACCATATTTAGTTACCCTGACACAAAAATTTGGAAACTTAATTTTGAACTATTACAAACCTTCCATTCGGAAGCAAAAATGAAATTTCGTGGATAGTTGACTAACAATTTTCAGCACAGTGACACTGAATGCCATTTAGGGAGAAAAAATCATGAAATTTCAGGTTTCACTGAAAATTGAATAAAATTCCAGAATTTTAAGGAGCATGAAGACGAAAATTTCTTAATTTATTTGAATTTTCAATCTAATATGAATATTCAGTATCAAATTGAATTGAATTTTCAGTGAAATGTGAAATTCCATTATTTTTTCCCCTTAAAGCGCATTCAGTGTCTCTGTCCTGAAAATTCAGGAATATATTTACCAGAATGTTTTGGTTTTCTATTCATCTTCAGGGAAAAATGGAACGGAAATTTACAGTTCTGTTTCATTTTTCCACGAAATTCTCAATTTTCAATGACAAAATTTCCTGAAATTTTGGTGGAATTGGAACACGATAAAAATTTCCAAAATTTGGTACGGAAAATTCAGACAAAATTTTTTAACAGTGTAATGGGATATTGTGAACGGTTTATGTGAGTAGTTAATACTCTTCTGCAATGGAATGGCAAAACATAGTAAGTATTGAAATTTTGTTCATTAAACCGATCAGCCCTATGACTTTCATCCTCTCGAATGTAAAAGTGGATTTTTCGCAGGCTTGAGAAACTATCCTTCGAGAAGATAAGGGTCAGGGTCAGGATCAGACGTTGACGAATTGGACAAAAAAATTTTCTAAATAAGGTATCTTAAACACCTTATTATCACAATAACCTCATATGACGGATTTTTCCACAAAAAATCTGAAAAAAATCAGTGGTTTAGTACTCATCAAAAGTACTCTCTGTGAATTTTTTTCTGATTTTTTTAAGCATCCGTGATCGAGATAAGTGGATCTGAAGGAATGTACAATAAGAATAGATATCCGAACAAGTTGCCCTCAGAGAAAAAAGTTTGCTACAAAAATATAGGTTTTTACCTGAATTGTTCAAATAATTTTTTTATTATAGGTAAAAAGGGGGTGTAGAGAGTTTACACTCCAGAAATAGCTTAAAAATTCCATTTTTACGCATTTCGACATTTTTCTTTTTCTTTAAAAAAATTGTAGTAATATGTTGATTCAAATTCAATATTTATCAATGAAAATGGAAATGGGATGGACGTAAGCTTCGGAGAACAAAAATCATCTTGGGAAATTTTTGACTTTATCATCAATACTAATATTTGGATCCGCATGAGAGTTAGAAGCTTTCAAATTGAAGTGTGATTCTTTTCCTCGAGAACAATTAGAGGGAAAAAATTTGAATCGAGAATCGAAATTTGAATCCTCGAGAAAAAATTTGAATTTTGTTATGCCTTCGGATGACACCAACGATTTACCCACCCCCATCCCGTTTCCATTGATAAACGTTGAATTTGAGTCATCATATTACCTAAATTTTTTTAAAGAAAAACACAAATGTCGAAATGCGTAAAAATGGAATTTTTAAGCTAATTCTAGAGTTTAAACTCTCTATACCTCTTTTTTTTTATAATAAAATAATTATTTGAAAAATTAAGATAAAAACCTATATTTTTTGTTCCAAATTTTTTTTCTCGGAGGTCAACTTCTCGCGATATCTATTTTTTTTAGAAATTTGCTCAGATGCACTTATTTGCATCACGGATGCTTAAAAAAATCTGAAAAAATTCAGTGAGAGTACTTTTGTTGAATGTTAAACCACTGAATTTTTTCAGATTTTTTAAAGAGCTCGAAAAAAAAAGTGGCTGGATTGAGGAAGAATCCATCATATTCAAGCGGACGCTAAATTTCTAATTGTTAGTTTACCACTTCATTACTAAATTTTTCATATAAATACCTAGGTGTAGTTCCTCGAATGGGTCTTTGAAGGGCTTTTCTAACAACGAGTCCTGTGATACAGGAGAATAATAGCCAGAAAAATATGAACCTCCACCAAAAGTTTCTCAGGCACATTGCAAATGGTATGACCCATACGCCAATCAATGTAACAAACTGAAAAAAATAAATTTCATTAGAAACATTGACATTGCCTGTCCTTGTCTTAAACATCATTGTCCTTTTTCATGAAGAAGTATGAGACGAATCGATAAATCGATTGAAACATAAAAATCTGAATGGACGCAATGTCACTGTACTAAAAATAAAGTTTATGTTTGCTTCATAGTGATGGGTTGTATGATAATATTCCGTAAAAATGTCTTTGCTGAAGGTCTGCATGGGAAAAAAACTTACTGATAGATATTTAAAAAAACCCAAAATTTTCGAATTCTCTGCAATAAAAAAGTATTATTATTACATAAAATTAATCCGATAAAATTTTCCATCGGCGAATTGAATTCTTTGCTATTCTTTTTATGTATTCTATGACAATGTGAGGATAAGAATTGAATTTATGGGCATTGGTTTATTATTCGAAAAAATGTATCAATTTTAAAATTTTCCCTAGACACTGAAAAATTAAAAATTCTATTTTCAAGTTGATCTCGTTTCTCTTCCTCTTTTCACTTTTTTCCATCAGGATTAGATAATAGAAAGAAAATACATTGGTTTTTACTCATTATTTAAAAAAAAAACATTTTGAAATTTTCAAAATTGAAAAATTGATTTTTAAAATTGATTTCTAATTTTCCTTCCCTACATTTTTCGTATTTCCTGTTTCTGTGAACGGAATACGATCACAAAAATTAAAAATGTTAATCTCCCTCCATTTTTTAAGAAGAATAAAACAATTTGAAAAATTTGGAAAAGACATGGAAAAATAGATTTTTTCATTTTATTGATACTGATTGATGGTGATCGATCTCTCTTTGCAATTTTCTTCCTCGGTTCCATTGGAATAAGATCAAAGGTATGTAGAATGTTCATATTCGTTCACATTTTCAAATCATTGGTACTAATTAATTTAAAGAAAAAGAAAGAAATGATAAATTTTAGATATGATTATCGAAAATTGTTTGTCGAACTGTATTCTCACGTGATTTATGGGGAATTCCTCTTCATTCAATGTTGTAACTTGTGAATTAAGGAACAAATATATATATAATGACAATAAGAATGAATAAAATTAAATTAATGTAATTGTGAAGACGGAAATGGAAAGAAAATAAAATAAAATAAACTAATCATGTAAAGTAACCTAGCGACGGGCGCGAAACGCCCGTTCGCTAGTTCCCTATTATTCCAATAAAAGATAATGTGATATTTTTCGGCACAATATGGAAGAGCTCTTAATATGCTAATGATTTTTTTCATCTTTTATCATTTGTCTTTGCCACATAGGGATAGTAGAAGGAATATTGTTTTTTTAATTTTATCTATATTTTAGCCTTATAATTTTCGGGTATTAAATTTCAATGGATTACCTGATACGATTTAAAATGCCTTTTTTTCCACTCCACAAGAATCACTTGGACTACAATCAAAGTTACTAACAAAATAAGCAACATCTCTGCGTGCATCGATTCATGACCCTTGTGTAATTGGTGTAATCTTATATGCTCGGCTCTGAAAAAAATGAAATTCATTGTGGCTTGCCCATACTTCATCACCATTTCGAACGTCATATTCATTCGAACATCGATGACAAGTTTAAAAAAAGTAAAAATTAATACAAAAAGTATACCTCATCCGTTCTTCAGGGGTCATCTCCTCCTCGCTCTAAAAAAGAAAAAAAATAGGGCATTAATGAGAATCATTTTCTCTTCAAGAATTCCAACGCAAACCGAGCAATACGAATATTATATTCAATGATACGGCAAATCGGCTCATGAGTTCTGTCCACGATGCTCGCCCTAGGAGGTTAAACGTGTACGTCACACGACAAGTCCACGTATACAGTTGATTTAAAGTAGAAAAAAAATGAGTAACAGAATTTACCTTGTTCGGCATGATGTGGAGATGATCCATTATTGTTTTTTAGCTTATTCGATCTAGTATCGAAGCGTGTTCAACTCAGATGGGTGGCATAATGCAAAGTGATAAGTGATACAGCCAACATCAAACTCACGCCACACACAAGTTGTCTACACAGACGCTGTATTCAGGCCACTCCACAGTTACTGGCGATATTCGCTACATGTTTATTACTCCAGCGTTCTTAATATCAAATTTTAATTTTGATTTGGGATATGATAAATTATATAAAGCGGTGTTGATAATTTTTTATTTTCGGAGAAGACTAGCCAATTTTGACTTCTGAGAATTAATTAAAATTTTTTAATGCGATTAGGGCACAGTGGAATGTTGTACAAATTTTTAATAACTACACCCCGGCAGAATGACGTTTAATGTTTTTCTTTTTCCAAGTTTAAAAACGGGGCTTCGGTTTAAGGATATCCAAGTATCTTTTACAGATTGGTACACACTATGAATTCCACCATTTTCAATCATCAAATTTGTCAATTAAATTGCGCAAAAAAAAATGTTCAAAAAATCATGAATATTCAGCGGCATTTAAATTATATTTTGCAGAGAATTATTATTTTTTTGAACATTCACTATCTATAAATAAATAATTGAAATTGTGTAAACTTTCGGAAATCTAATTTTTTTAGGCATGAAATCGATTTCTGGTAAAATTATGACGATGAATAAATCAATTTATTACGATTTCGAACACATGATTTTTATGGGGAAAAATTGATTGTTTATAAATTATTCAATGAAAATGCTCGCATTTTTCAAAAATTGCAGTTTTTAAATTATTTCATTAATCATCTTCTAAAAGTAAACTTTCTAGTTATTTTCAGATTTGTAAAATATGTTCTAACGGTTTAATATTGAGATTCAAATTCAGAGATCTGCAAAGTTTAAATAATAAAATCATTGTAAAATGTTCGGAGTCAAATGGGGCTCAAATGACAGCTCTGATGTTCGGCTACAAAAGTAGAAAATCATTTCACTGGAGAAAAAATAGCCAAAATACTTGGATCCTTAAAAGGAAACACCGGTGAATTTCACGTTACTATCCTCTCTCGTATATTATTTGTGTGGACAGGCACAAATGAGTTTTGTATACGAACATGTAAATATAACAACTGAGAAGATTGATTCTTATTTAAATTATTATTATTTCGTTAATGTAATTGCTGAGCGATCGAGGGTTCTGATTCACACAAGACTGGTTGAGTCGCTTATCCTCTTCCTTACCATTTTATTACACACAGAAAAAAAAATCATGAAATTGATCAATTCATCATGGTTCAATTTATCCTTCGAAGAATGATAAACTCAACCATCATATCGAATTATTTTTATAGAAAAAATTCTAGAAATGATCCGTATTATTCTTATTTTCATCCATTTTTTTCTTGCATCTGAAATTCTTCCGATAAATTCCATGTCTCTTTTTACTAACTTCTAGAAACTTCGATTCTAAACTTGCATTTTTTGAAATATTTTTATTTCTAAGAAGAACTGTCCAATTTAGGGGATAGTGAATCTGCACGTTTCAGATGATTCTGAATCATCTGAGCCCAACTTTTGAGGACAATTTCTGTTCAATTTTTTAAAGGGAATTTGGAAATTTGAAATTGGGCCAAAAAGTAAAAAAAATGTTTCTTTAGGGAATACTGAATCTACACGTTTCAGATGATTCTGAATCATCTGAGCCCAACTTTTGAGGACAATTTCTGTTCAATTTTTTAAAGGGAATTTGGAAATTTGAAATTGGGCCAAAAAGTAAAAAAAATGTTTCTTTAGGGAATACTGAATCTACACGTTTCAGATGATTCTGAATCATCTGAGCCCAACTTTTGAGGACAATTTCTGTTCAATTTTTTAAAGGGAATTTGGAAATTTGAAATTGGGCCAAAAAGTAAAAAAAATGTTTCTTTAGGGAATACTGAATCTACACGTTTCAGATGATGCCGAATCGTCTGAGCCCAATCGTTTAGGACAATTTTTTTCCATTTTTTCAAAGGTTCAATTTAAAATTGCCAAAATGCCTTTCATTTGGAAAATGTATTAATGAGGGGAACTTAATCCCCTGATTCGATAGATTGCAGAATATTTTTGCCTTGAAACCATTATTTTTTGGTTAATTTCATTTATTTAGTTTCTAAAATTAATGTTTTTTTCTAGATTTTAGCTGGATGCAAGTTCTAAACTGCAGATTCTAGAACCTAGAAAAAAAATCTTGAATTTACATTTTTTTTTCTCTGTGTACCCTCAGTTGAAACTTAGAACTCAATGACATAGATGATTTTGTTATCAAAATCGAAAAAGACAATGTCAGGTTTCGTTGCAATGATAAGTCTGACGATCGCGAACGACAAGTTCCAGTAAATCTTACATCTCTGACTCACGACAACGGACTCAATGTCTCCTGGAATATATAGTAGCAATGGTGTTCTGTGGATCCCATAAAAGTAGCGCAAATAAAAGTACAACACTCTCGAAGCCACATTATATCGATGGATATAACTCGAGATGGCATAAGTCGGACAAGCCGACAATGGAACCTGCAGCCCCATAATGCGACTTCGGTAGACCAGGGTATTTATTACATCATCCTGGCATGCGCAGATGAATCCCCAAGTTTCAAACATCAAACCAGATGATTTTAAGAATACAATCATCAGGTAACTGACCATCTCGACCACGACGAAACTCTAAACCGAAGGAAACTGCTACGGTATCTGCTGCTTTATACAGAAAGACCTGAACTTCATGGAGTTCATGATCATGAACGAACTCCAAATGCGGATCCAAGTCATTCATAATGTCACAAGCTAAACCAAGGACCAGGCACTCATGAAGAGTCTCCAAACTGAGAAGTTCTGGTCCCCCAGGAAAGTGGAATCGCGGACACGAAGAGCGTGGGTGCAGACTCCAGTGAATGTTCATCAGCTTGTGGGTATCTCTGTCTAGCTGCTTCAGTTCATCTTGACTCTACTTGAGGATGCCAAAGGAGTAAAGAAGCACTGGAACAGCGAACATATTGGTTGCGGCAATTTTATTCTTACCGAAACGCTTGGATTTTCAAACTTTCCGCAGTCGCCGCCGATATTCTTCGCGAAGAGTCTGCTGCGATATCCGCTGCCTTATACAGAAAGACCTGAACCTCATGGAGTTCATGATCATGCTCGACCTCCTTATAATAATAATAATAATAATAATAATAATAATAATAATAATAATAATAATAATTATTATTATTTCAATCATTTAAAAACCTCGAAAATTCGGAGAAAATCACTGAAGAACAATTTCAGGATATACCAGTACTTTCAACAGTTTCGTACAAACGACACTGTAAATTTTGAGATTTTCAATTATAAAATTTTTCGATTGAATTGCGCGAGAAAAATTCGAAGACATTCATGGATAATCAACGTCATTTGAATTATATTGGAAAAGAAATTACTTTTTTTTCATCCTTCTTATAAGTAAATAATGGATATTGTTTGACTTTTTGAAAACATCATTGTTTTAAAAAGGAGACTTCTTATTTTTTTTCCAAGTTTTAAAATGGAGATTCGAATTTGAACCACCACTTATCAATGATCACGGTATAAAAGGTGAAATTCTTTGAACGGTTCAAAAAATTTGGAGATTAAGAACGATCAATTCCAGATTCTTCTAAAATTGATTCTCAACTGCTTCTAATTTATCCAAAAAGCTTCAGAATCCGTAGAAACTCTCCAACATTTTCTGATGATTATATAAATCAGAAGTGATAGCGAAAGATGTTGCAGAAATGTTCCTTTAAGCTGAATTAAATTACTCGTATGCGTTTCATTCAATCCAGCCGCAACCTAAAGCTAGAATGTTAAAAGGCCTCCGTCTCTTCTTTAAATTCTCCACAATAAAAACCAATAATTCTTCACCATTCCTTGACGAATATGCAATGAATAACCCATGCCTCGAAACATTCAAGAACTATATTTCTTCATTGATATATCATATTTTTGTTTCAAAACTTTCCCGGTCATTTCCTTCCTTCTCATTCGCCGATTATCTCCCAATAACCCACAACGAGAATCGGTCGTATTCGTCCCTTTTCGTGCATTCACGCTAGCTAAACCACGCCCATTACCGACGATCAGTGAGGGAAGCTGGTAATTCGCCATGGAGCCAGCACTATAAGTGCTCGTACATACAGTTTTCTCAAGAAAATAATACGGGGCCGTTCGTGCCGATAAAAAAAACACAAAAATTCGCGCGTATATGTTATTCATCCGTGTGAATCCATCGAATAAAAGTGAGTGATTCATTTTCCAGTGGAGTGAAATTTAGTGACAAATTTTGTTACGCGCACGTGCCCAAGTTTGGTTTTATTCGCCCTGATTTTCTTCACAATTTTTTGATGGGCTATTAGTTTGTCTTTGGAAGGATACACCGTTTACCTGCCTGCCTTCGAAGCCTGGGAGAAAATCATTTTGGTGAGTGCGAGGAATCAGGTATAATCTGGGAGGAGACAAATGCCCCGAGGGTGGATTATGCTTTCTGAAGCCCCGGGGATTTTTTCCCTGATAATTGTCGATTAAAGGGAAGGGACTGGTGTACCTGTATAAAAGATTTAAAGACACATGGGGATACTCCGACACCGGCGGATATGCGTACTTTCGTAATAAGGGAGGAATGAAACATTTGTATAAGGATGTGAAGGGGACCAGACGATGAAACGACTGGTCGGGTCTCACACGTTCCACCTGTTTGTCATCACCATTTTCGTATGCGTGTGACGTACATCACTATAAACACGTAAATAATTAAGGATGTGATATTTGGCTGATAGTAATTCAGAGAGGCTGAATCTGCTAATTATATCGTTCATTGGGTTTTGTTTTTTATTGCTGTTTGGAGTTGAGATCTAGAAGGTTTGATGAATCAGGATTATTGAGGACTTGAAAATTATTTTTCATCACGCTGTGACGAAAAGTGAACTTTTCGGCACACTCCGCGTGCCTAAAAGTCCAATTTCCGCCACATTGTGATGAAAAATATTGTTCGTAACTCGTGAAAAAATGTTTTTTAGC